CTGATGAGAGAGAGTCTGAAGGGTGACAACGATGGCGACGACGGTCGGCGACGATGACGAAGGTCGACGGTCTGCAAATCGGCGACGAAGACGAAGTCTCTTCCTCAGTTCTTTGGCCTCTCCTCTGTTCGATGTCCGATGGGCGAGTGGGCAGTGGCAACTGTTAGCGACGGTGGTCGGCGAATCGGAAACAAAGACGAAGCTAGGGTTTATGGGTTTTGTGGTTCAGTCGCCTCTCTTGAGTCTTCTCTGTCTAAAACAGAAGAATGAAGATTGGTAACTGGTTTAGTCGAGGGTTAAGGGTTTTCCAACTTTTCAAGTTTTCTTGATTTCTTCGAATTATGTTTTAGACTTTTAGTTTTTACTGTTTTATAAATAAATTAATAATTATTATACTTATATAATATATAATATAATATTAATTGGAGATGGATCGGGGCGGGAATTGCATTTCCCATCCCCATCCCCATCCCCGATCAGGGATTCATGGGTAGCTCCATCCCCGACCCCGACCCCACCAAGGTACCCCCCATCCCTGACCCCATTGGGTCTAGGAGCCCAGGTACCCATCGAGGATGGGGAAAATTGCCACCCCTATTCCTGGGATTTGATTTCTAGGCTCCACCACCCATGTTAGCTACTAAAGTTAAATGTTAACCATTCAGCCTCTACAAGGTTGCTGGTGTAGGAATGATGTGGCCATGAGCACAAATCTCCTAAAGGCAAAATTTAAAATTATACATGGCATCCAACTACATTGTAAAAATCTCTCATGCTTGTTAAGTTAAATTCACGGAGAGATATTCTCTATATATGGCCGGATATCATGCTCTCATGGTGTGTCTCTGTTGCTAAACTCACTTGAAACCCACATGGCTAGCACAAGCCCAGATCGGCTGCTTACAAATTAAATACAGGAGATGCTGCCGAGTTATAATCGAATTTCATGCTGTCAGTATATATATTCATTCATGGCCTCATGGGAGATGTTCCCACTTCCCACTTCCCAATACATAGCTGGATATTACCATGCTCTCTCAATAAGCACACCTTTTTGCTGGCAGCAGATTCTGTCATGGCTAGCACAACTACCCCATTATATTATCATTCTTTATCACCTATGTAGATATATATGACGCTCAAAGAAGGCTTGCTGATGATACAGCAACTTCACATACCAAATGCAATGTCATAAAGAGATACTAAGGATCTAGTCAACCTCTTTGTTGGTGAGATCTATTAGTCATGTTTGTAGGAATGATCTCTTTTCAAGTTTTCATTCTTTATCGATTCGTGTTTGTATTGGTAAGCCCATTTAGTTGTTCTTATATAGTATATGTTTGGCATTGATGTTGTAGATGCAGTGGTGCTGCTGATGTGTGGTTAGAAGTATTGTTTTCTAAGAAAAGGATGTCTTTATTTTTGTTTGCAATCGTTGCTGCTAGGTAGGACATTTGCTGGAGTAACAACATTTTTTTCTGTTTGGTACCAATGCTCCATGAAACGTTTTCAACACTGGTACCCATTATCTAGTGCCACATCATTGCCCAGTTGGCAGCAACGAGCTACAGTTACAGGAAACGTCAAATTTGGCGTTGCTCCAAGCCATTGTTTCCCAATTTCCAAGGCGTGGCTTGGAGCACCGTTTTTATGGAAAAATGGTTCCAGACAAATGCATGTTTCCTGGGGCACCATTTTCCAATGTGGCGTCGGTGTGGCGCCGTTGCTCCAGGAAATGACAACAATACCAAACAGATTCATACTCTCTTGTCTCTCCATCCTTTATCGTGAAAGATGGACTTATGCAGCTGTATTTAGGGTCCATTTGGTTTGCAATCGAAATTGAAATCGGAATGGTCCATTCCCATAGTCTGTTTGGTTCAAACAGGAATGGGAATGGAAATTAAAATCAGCAGGAATGGGATTTCATTCCCAAAGGAGGGGCAGAGAATAACCATTCCCTCAAATGGGGGAATGCCATTCCAGCATGAATAGGAATCAGATTCTGATTCCGCCCAACCAAATAGTTGGAATCGGAATAATCCATTCTGGTTCCAATTCAAGACCCTTAATCCTACAAATCAAACAATGTCTTAATTTTACCTATTCTAAATCCAATGGATAAGATAATTCGAATCTTAATTATAATAATAATAATAATAACAATAACAACAACAACAACAACAACAACAACAACAATAATAATAATAATAATAATAATAATAATAATAATAATAATAATAATAATAATAATAATAATAATAATAATAAATCAAATCTAGATGATCAATTTGATCTAATTTGTTGCAGCTCTAAAAATGCGAGTTCTCAAATAAACGAATCTATATAAGATTGAAGCTAGGTGTTAGGTAGGCTCCAATGGAAATAAGCAGGGTACTGTATCAAGATGTTGTTAGAATCGAAAATATTTAAGGTTATACATTTTTCAGTCTTACTTCATAAGTTATTTTATTTGTGCAAATGTTGTTTCCAACAAAATTCTAATATTAACGCCTTGGCATACAATTATAGCATAAGCGAGCTCACTCAACAATTCTAAGCAGTGTTAACCATATGGTTGAAGCATCAAACTGATCAAGAATTGATAGGATTTTTGAAGCATCACTCACATCTAATATCTTTAATATTGTTAAAATCTTGATAATAATTACACACAAAACGTAAATAAATAAAAAGTAAATATGAAATGTTTTTTATACGGTTATTTGAAATCTTGATTTAATATAGTAACATACAACAAACATTCATATATGCATTGTAGTTGTACTCGTTTTAGAACTTATTTTTTAATGTTAAACTCCCTATTAATTAAACCAGCCATTGAAAACAATCTAACTTTTAGCAACCTAGCTGGTCTTCCATGACCATTATAAATTATTAAATTACAACAAAAAGAGTTAAACCCATGACCTCCCAATTTACCAATAATATGTCTTATCACCAAGTCATGACACCATTTATGTTTATTTATTTATTTAATGTTTATGTTGACTAAATATATGTATGTATTTTTGAGCAGATATAATCTAGAAAAATAGTTTACCCCAAGTCATTAGCTCAACCTAGTGGTTTGACCACTTGACTCGTTATCTGTTGTCCTTTCAATGAACCGTCAAAGTCTGATAACATTGATTCTTCTTTTAGTGGGCTGACAACTTGATTTTAAGGGACTGTTTGGTGACGGTTTAAGTTGCTAAATCCAAAGACTTATTAATATGACTTTTAGTGGATAAAATAATTAATTAATAAAATATTAGCGTATAGTAATCCACCCAACCTCAGCGGCTCACTAGGGGTGATCATTTTCAGCCCAGCCCAGCCCCATCCTATGAATTTCGAGCATGGGCTTAGTTTTACTGTTCAAGCCTGCCCTGGGCTTCTGCCTGAGGCTCTGGGCCTAATATTTTGGATTTGATCTAAGCCCAGTCTATCTCGTATATATTTACATATATACTTATTTATAAATACATGCATACAAACATATATACATATATATATATGTGTATTATTTCATATATAAATATTATAATATGGTACTAATAATACAAGTTATATAATGTATACAATTAATTATATATACATTTATATGTTGCATATAATATAAAATTTAATATATATATAAGTATATCTAATGCTTTATACATTAAATTCATAGGGCTGGAATCAAGCCCAAGGTTAAGCTTAAGTTTCAGCCCTGAAATTAGGCCATGTCTATAGTATCAGGCCCATGTTCATACCTAACTTCAGCCATTAAGAAACCCTAAAACTCCTTAAAATCTTATTCACTAAGGCCAAGTTTGGTTTGAAGGAAAATGTAGGAAAAGAAAGGAAAAGACAGGGGAACTAATACAAACTTTGTAAAAGTTTCCTTATATTTCCCTTCATTTCCTTATTTTTTCTTTCAAACCAAACACAAACTAAAGAAAAGCACCTTTCAATTGCCGCTAATGGCCATTGTTGTTGGATGTTGCATAGTACGCAAGACTGTGAGATTGAAGATCTAAACCATCCAAGCACTTGCTCACTTTCTACCGATTTAATTGGAAAGAAGGAAAGGAGGGTCTTGACTCATGCGGCCATAACACTTGATTAGTAATTAATTAGCTTTTTGTTAATAAGTTGACTCTGCAGAATAAGGTTTAAAATTTTGTTACATATTGGCCCGTATCAATAAATGTGTTTGATAATTCACCAATACATAAATATAAGGAGTTTCGGGATAAGACATGTTTCAGGGGGGGTAACCATGCCTTTAACCAACCCCCTCAACATATTTTGAAAAAAAAAATAAACTAAAAAAATATAGCGTATCTGACTGTATCAAAACTTTAAACCTTGGGCAGAAATATATGTGAATTAAAATTAAAATAAGAGGTTTAGATCTCTGATGTCTGAAAATAAGAGGTATTAAAAAACAAATTTTACATTGAAACACAGACGAAAAGAACAAGGCCCTAGATGTACAATCGGGAAGAGTACGTGCAAATACAAAGAATGTATAGTGTAAATACAAACTTTAGAAATATCGTATACAAGTGTTTTTCATTATATATATTTGTATTTGCATTCTTTTCAAACCAGTGCAATTTCATTTGCACTGATGCAAAATAATAGAGATAGAAATGATTTCAGTATAATTTTGTTTTATTATTTGCCTTATTTTGTTTATTTTGTTCCATATAAAATAATATAAAACCTAAAAAAAAAGTAAGGCAAAACCCAAAACTAACATAAACTAAAATTTGCATTATCTTCATTTGCACTATTAATGTAAATGAAATTGCACCACAAACAACACAGGAGTAATAGTTGCCCCGTACTCAGTACGGGATGGTCATTAACTAATAGAGTCGTTAATAGAGTGGTTGAGGTTGACTCACAAGTCTGAAGTCACATACACAGCGGCACAGCGGCACAGCGCAGCCCAGCCAAGTGAAACAAGTCGCAGTTAATCAGACCCGCTTAACCAGGGTCAGGTTCCCAGCACCAATCAATTCTGCCTCTCTCTCCCCTCTCTCCCTCTCTCTCTCTATAAATGGCGGGAGCCTCCTCGTTTCTCAATTACTCTCACACCCAATAATCTTTCTCTCCTCTCTCTCGCACACACAAAAACACGCAGACACATTATAATTCTTAAAAGCGAAGCGACGCATTTGCTCCTATCTGTTTCTCCTTATTGTCAACCTTTTTCTTACGCTTTTGGTTCTTCAACCCCTCCTCGCAATCGCGAAAATCTCCTAAACTGGAAAAGAGAGAAGACAGGCTTCTTGATCTTCGTAAGGCAGTAAGTTGATTCGTCTTCGTCAAGCGTCAGGCACTTTTCTGTTTCCTGTGATTTTTCACGTTCGATCTCCTTCAAGTATCTTTCCTAGTTAATGCTCTGGTTCTAGGGTTTTTTGTAGAGCCTAAAATTTTAGGGTTTTGGTTTTATAAGAACTTATTGAACTCGAACTCAAGATTTACCAAGGAAGATAGAGAGAGGTGGAGAAGTAGCTTCCGATTTCATGGAGTCTGCGGCCGGAGTTGCCGCAGGGCGTGGTGGCTCGCTGCCGATGCCTTCTCAGTCTGCTAGGAAGGAATGGCGCGCCGTTTCCGACCATCATTCCGTCCGAAGTGCCGGAAATGAGGTAAAGATACCTTCTATCCAAGCTGGACCTCTTCCTTTCTACCTCTCCTTGTCTCGTATTCGTACTCTTGTTCTTTGGTGGTTGATTAATAGAACGTAACTGCTGGACAGGAGTTGGAACGGTCGAAGATGGGGCAATCCGAGGAGAGAACTATATATGAGGTAAGACTCATTTTCCAACTTTCGAGTACTAGATTACAGTTTTGAAAAGTCCCTTTTTTGTTGAGGACTGAGGGCAATCATGTGTTTTGCAAGGTACAGCAAGGAGCAGGGCCACTTGATGTCGACTTCTGTTCGATTACCGTGGATGAAGGTATAGATAGTGACATATTGCAGCAACGTCTTCATAATGTCTCCAGACAGAGGGAGGACCTGCAACATATGGAAATCGAACTTAGAGCTCAGCTAATAGCTAGATCCGAGATAATGGAAATGCAGAACAACTTCGATGCGCAGATCAAAGAACACGCTAATATTGCTGCTAAACTAAAGGTTTCAGTTCTTATTCTGTTCTTAAATAATTTTTTCCATCTAATGTGCTCCCTTCTCAATTGTACTACTCAATGTCGATTTGTGTTGTACTCATTGAGCTATTTTATGTATCATTTACTTTTCCATAATGCCACAATTGCTTCTTTGCATTGTCATTCTGAAATTTTGATAGCTCATGCTAGAATCCTTTAGACAGTTATTCTTTCCTCCACTTTATTACTTAGATGGCGTTTGGCATAGCTGTGTTCTATGGCCCTTGTATTTTTTATTACATGTCAAAACAGCATTCTGTGTAAACGGAAAAGATCATATTTGGATTTTTTCTCATTTATGCAAAAAAATGTAATGCAACAGAGCGTCTCAAATTTTAGAGAGGGGATGTTTGTAGAGATACCTTTTTGACATTTCCACGAATGTGGCAAAAGCCCCCTGACTTGGACCATTGCAAAGTGAATTACTGGAACACTTTTCTGAGTTGTCACATGGTATTCTACTTGGGGCAAAGAAGCTGATCACCTTAAATGGCATATTAGCATGGTCCTTTTCAAACAAATTTCTGCTAGAAATAATACTGCCATGGCATTTATAGTCTTTCATTGTTGATTCAGGCAAATCAGTAACACCATAAAAGACAGCCGTGCCAAATGCCATTTTAGTAAATTTCAGAGTATTTAAATGCTAGCCTGATACTGTTTGTTATCATTGCTGGTGTTTGTGACATCATGAATGAGAAGTTTTTCAAATTTAAAAACAAGGAATTGCGGTAAGATATCCGGGGTTCCCTGTGATCTAGGCACCTACTCAAATCTACTTTCTGTGTAGCCCCTAATTTTCCATTCAGAGAAGATACCATCATCCCTTGCCTTTCCCCTATAATGATGTGAACTTATTTTGGTTAAATAGGAGCAATTACAGGAAAGGGAACAAACAATACATGAATTGGAAATGAAGATGGAAGAGAAGGAAAGAGAGCTACGTGCAATTAAAATTGACAATGAAGCGGTTTGTTGAAGATTCTGCCTTCACTCCCTTTTCTAACTTATTGTTTGTTTGAGGATTAATTTGTTATATCCTGCAGGCCTGGGCTAAGGAGGATCTTCTTAGAGAGCAAAACAAAGAATTGGCAACCTTCCGGTAGGTTCTGGTGACTCCATAGAATTTCATATTACATATATTGTCATATTTTTTACTACAATTACCGTTTTTACCCAAAGGTTTCTCTGTTAAATCATACTGTCATTTCTTCATTCTCCAAAATGGACTTGTATAGATCACCTATCCTTCAATCCTAATGTCAAGGACTTAGTGTGAAGTAAATTTATTTTCAAGATAGCTTTCATAATGACTGTACATTTGATAGATTTGAAGTTGGGTTTCTTGTGTTCATTTGCAGAAGAGAGCGTGATAACTCAGAAGCTGAAAGAGCTCAGCATCTCAAACAGATACATGACCTTAAGGAGCATATTCAAGAAAAAGAGAGACAGTTTCTTGAATTGGAGGAGCAGGTTTGTCCATTTGGATCTTTTTGGTGTATTACTCTTATGCTTCTTAGAGTTGAAGTTAACACATTACATCAATTGAGCTGCACCTTAAACCTTGTGCAGCTGATGTATGTGAGAGAGATCTGAACTCTTCTTGTAGCATGCTTAAATTCTTAAGGTCCATGGTTAAGCTGGCACTCATTGATGATAAACGGGTTCCTTAATCTTCATTCCTTAAATCTCCGTTTGTTTTGGGTGGAAATGATTTTTGATTGGCATCACTGGAGATTGTTCAAGAATCAGACCCACCAGGGAAGTTCAACATCTTTTTTGTCTTAGTCCAGTAAACCTTGTTTCAAGAAGCCCAGCAAGCTAATATTTTTTTAAGTAAGCAGCCAATTATATTCAGGCTGGTATATAGAACTATAGGAGTCTTTATTATGTAGGATGGATTTGCAAAAGGAGGATAAAATAATCTTGGTTCTTGGAATTAGCATTTGAATTTCTCGTGTGAACTATTAGAAATTGGAACCTAATATTTTCTTGAAGGAATCATCACCTTCAATAAAATTAGAATCACTTGGCATTAGAAACAGCAGACTTTATTTCCCTTGTCTTTGTACTCTAGCGAACTATAAAAAGCACTACTAAGACACTAACTAGGAATAAAGGCAACTTCTAGTTGACTTGACACTCAAAAATCAGATGTAATCTAGTTAATTTAGGACTAAGAAGAAGGAAAATCCTACTTAACTTCAGACTGTGACTTTGACCTATTAGCACAGCTCTTAATTTTCTAAATAACTTCTAGAGTCCTAGTCCAATCAAGGAAACCGACTCTTAGTTGCAAGTAGGAAAACCAAACTTGGGTTATAAATGCTATTCTGTATTCATTTATCCGAATTTGAATTTGAATCCAATACAATTAATTAAGGCAATACAAATTCGATGTGTTTAATTGGATTGAATATCGATCCACTCCAATTTGATAAGATCCAATTCAGTAATATATATGCTTATATCTACATAAAATTAATATGTATCTATTGAAAAGGGACCATTGATTGGTGTAATGGTAAAATTTCAGGCTGGCTAGTGTGAAAATGTATGTTAGAATCTGAGAGTGGCCACTGTGTGTGGAAAATGCCAAAGGTTAGGTCTGTATCCAATCCACCACCCCTCCAAAGAGGTGAAGACCTCAGATAGCTGGGACCAACATTGAGTAATGGTCTGGATGTGTTGTATCTTTAGGTTCTTTACCAAAGAATCATGAGCTCAAGTCTCGTACAAGTAACTTTAAAATCATTTTATTCATGTTAATGTTACACTTAAAGTCATTTTAATGCATCTTTGTTAATAATATAATAATCTGACCATTTTTGTTGTATCTTATTAATGGTATTCAATACCTGAATCCAATAAATGATGAATAAGATTCAGTTTGAATCAAGGTTGGATCTAGATATATCCGATTCAATCTGATCTTTATGGGGCCATTACCTAATGCTGGTCCCAACTCCCAACTATTCAGGGTATCAAGAGGTGTGGATTGAATTTGGACCTAACCTATGCATTTTTAACATGATGTGGTCACACTCTTGGACTAAAAACCTGTATTCTCATGCTTATCACCTGAGATTTTAGCACTGCACCAAGTGATGTCTCCCATAACCAACTCATAATGCGATTAGGAATTTAGGAGAACTACTGATGACTCAAATAAACAGAAAGTAGTTACTGAAAAGTTTGAACATTAACCCCTACTATCTATAAATATGTAAAAGTTCAAAGATCTAGTTCTGACTCATTTTATGGTTAGTAAGCAACATTAAGATGACATGTTTTCCTAAAACTTTTTGAATTGGAATGACTTTTTCCCCAGTAGATCCTTGCACTCATTGATTATTACTAATCAATATACTAGGTTTCTCAGGTCAGACTGTTTTGTTCTGTAACTCAAGAGTTGCACTTTCTAACATTGGCCTGTCTTACAGCATAGGGTTGCACAGGAAACAATCCTGTACAAGGATGAACAAATTAGGGAGGCACATGCTTGGATTGCACGTGTTCATGAAATGGATGCTTTGCAATCAACAACCAATCATTCATTACAAGCTGAGTTGCGAGAACGCACAGAACAGTTCAACCAGTTTTGGCTTGGTTGTCAAAGACAGGTTTCTTTTATGTTCACCTTTGGAGTTGTTACTCTTCATCTTTCTCGATAAAGATAACCAAATATATGAACGCACAATCTTCATGGTTTGTGTATTTCATTGATATTGCCTTTTTTTCCTGGGAGTTCTATTACATTGTGTTTACAACTGTATATCATCTTTCAGTTGACTGTTGTGTCATACTGAAATGACTGACTTTTTCTTTAATGTTTTTAATGTTAGTTTGCAGATATGGAGAGGCTTCATTTGCATACCATACAACAGCTCCAATTAGAGTTGGCAGAAGCAAGAGAAAGAAATGGAGTTTATGCAGATGAGTCATGTGTGGCCCATGCAAATTCAAAGGATGTATCTCAATTTGGGCAGAACAATGGGAGTCAACTCAATGTAAATGAAGGTGGCACATCAAATGGCAACTCTGGTGTCCTCCCAAATGGGAATGTTGACAATGTTACTTCTTTTGATGCATCAAGCAAGGTAGGGCTGCAAGTCAATATTTTATTGAAGCTGCATTCTTATTTGTTGTTATGTTCTTATAATTTCTCTGAGTTGGAGTGCCATTTGTGTATGATATCTAAATTCATCCTATTAACAAGTATGAGTAACAAGGAAGCTGCAACAATTTTAACCCAGACCAATCCACTACTGTCTGAACCAGGAGCTGGATGTTCATTTGGGTTGCTTGTTGAATTGCAAAAATTTTTATATACAATGGACATGCCTATCTAGTCTTGGAAAGTAGGACTGATTTGTATCGGTGTTCTGTCTTGGAAAGTAGGCAAGTGTACCATGGGGTTCTATTGGGTTTTTATGTTTGTAATTTGGAGCTACAGTTTTTTTTTTTTTTTTTTTTTTTTTTTTTTTTTATCTTGGGGCTTGAGAAATACTAACAGGACAGTAGTGTAAAAAGAAAAAAGGATATAGGGGATTTTATAAATTACTTGAAATCAAGCATCTTCTAGATACACTGTAACCATGCGAGCTCATAACAAATTCATCTTCTTTCCAAAATTCCTCCATGCATCTCTTTCTAGCTGCATAAGTTAGTCCTTTTTCTACTATTTGGACAATTGGTTTTTTCTTTTTAGTTGCCTCTCTTGAATTAAGTAATTTTTTGGACAGGAAATGGAGGTTTTTTTGCGCCAATATATGAGAAATACATTGTCATTTATTGGTACATGTACATAATGTCCATAATGTACAGAATATATATTAAAGGAAGAATGAAATAATAAAAAAATCTCAAATACTTGCAGAAATGCTAAAAAGTTTAACTCTGCAAGGAATGATAACCAAATGGTCGAACTTTGGGATTAAAGTCAGCTCCATGGACTCGTAGCCAAAATAATACTTGAATCCTTTGCTGCCTTCAGTTGGGATCTTCCCATTAAATCTCGATTACAAACTTGAGATAATACTTGAGTCCTATTTTTTTTCTCAAAAAAGGCTCGATTACAAGCTTTCCATCTTATTATCTATATGGGCTCTTAGCAAGTTGAGGTTGAGGGTGATTCACAGGTCACAATTGGATGGGCGGTGGAAGCCAGTGAGGGAGCATAGTTTTTCCAGGCATTATATTAGAGAGGTTAGGGCCTGTCATCTACAGCAGTCACCTTGTTCAGATTGGTATAGAGATCAGAAAATTTTCCAATAGAAAGTCTAGCTAGTGGAATGGTGGGACAGGATTCATGGAGCTGACTCCATACATTTGGGAGAAGGCTTTATGTAGTTGATTCGACTATACTCTAGCTAGTGGAAGGATGGGGAAAGCAGATCTGTGTTGGGGGCTGTGGGGTGCATCTCTTCTAGAAGTCCTTTTTTATTCTTGTTCTCTCCATTAAAATCTGAAAGACTCACATGTACTAGTCACCCTAAGCATTGTGGCTACAAGTGTTTGTGAAAGGACTTTGTGCTTTTGTCTCCCCCTTCTCATATTTTCTTATTATACTCACATGCACTAGTCAGCCTGCATAAACTGACTATAGAAATCTGTGTAAGAGGTAGTCTTGGCTTGCTTCTCATAATCTTCTTTTTGCTGTCTACTTTGCTATAGATGACACTATAATGTCAAGTGTCAATTCTATTCTTAATGGCTTTGTCCTGGTTAGACGTTAGAGTTAAGTCTGTTTGGTTGCCTCAAAAACTCCACAGCACACTTTCCCTTCTAAACCCTTGTTTTACCCCAGAGGTTCAACTTGTCAGCTGGTTCTATCTCTCTTAATGGCTGTGGCCTGTATAGATGGTCTGTTTGCTTGCATCAACAACTCCATACAACTAGTAGGCCTGTTTGCCCATGTAAATGCTTTTTTTTATCAATAACAATAAGCTTTATTAATGAATAAGATTTGTGAAACTTTAATTACAGAAAGGGGGAGGTAAACTATCTTAATTCCTCAACAACAAAAGGACAAAGAAAAAAATCTAAAAATTAGCCCAAAACAGAGAATCCTTAACCACCCCTTGCTTAGCTAACCCATCAGCCATTGAGTTAGCACTTCTCTTCACCCAGTTGTACTTCACCTCAATATCCTTACTCAGCCATTTAAATTTTTTCTTTTCATTGCCGTAGCTCCACAAACCACTGCTGTCTCCTTTCAGCCACCTAATCACCACCCCCGAGTCCCCTTCAATAACTAAGCATCTGATGTTTAATTCTCTTGCTCTTTGGATTTCTTCAAGAACTGCTAGAATCTCAGCCCTAAGAGAGTCACCCACTCTAATTGGGCCTGAGAACATGGCAATAATAATCCCATCCTCATTCCTGAACACACCCCCAATCCTAGAAGGCCCTGGATTCTTTAAGCTATTTCCATTAAAATTCAGTTTTATGAATCCACCCGGAGGGGGGGGACCAAGAAGGCCTAGAGGTCCTCTTACAATGGGCAGAGGTAGCTACCTCTTTCCATTTTTTCAACAAGTCAGCCATGAAAAATTTAGAGAATAGCTCCATAGATTTCAGCCAGTGAGCTACCCTTAAGTGTATCAGTTGTAGTAAGTTTTCTGTGGTTCTTTCCTTGTCTGAAAATATTCGTATGTTTCTCTCTTCCCATACTGACCAGCACACTGCCGCCCTTATGCTTCTCCACATAGCCTTCCCTCTTTTCTTTGGCCATCTAAAGAACGAAGGAGAGAACAAGCTTTGCACACTCATGAGGGGATTCCAAGTACACCCAAAAAGGGAGAACACACACTCCCAAACAGTTTTAGTAACCAGACAAGTAACCATAATGTGGTAACCCGTTTCCCCATCAACTTTGCAAAGATTATACCTATTGGGAAGTAAACAATAGTTGGGCCTCTTTCTCTAAAGCAAGTCATTTGTGTTAATTCTTTCCAGGAAAATTTCCCAACAAAAACTACCAACCCGAGGAGGAATGGGTTTGCTCCAAATCTCTTTAACAAGGAAGGACAACCCAAGAGGAATAGTAGGCTGAACTAAAGTCTCAAAAAACGAAGCACAAGAAAAGGAGCCAGAGGGGGAAGGGGTCCAGACTTTGGTGTCTCCCATACTAGGGTTCAAGAAAACATTTTCAAGGATGGCTAGTAGAGATGAAATGCAACCCAAATCTGTATCCTTAATTGCCCTTCTCAGGCCTAGGTTCCACCCAAAACCAAAAGAAGAATCAGAAGGAACTAAGAAAGAGGAGATGGGTTCATTTTTTTTGATTAATGAGATGGGTTCATTTTTCAAATCTGACAAAGCATACAAAGAGGGAAATTGGTCCCTCAGGGCTAAGTCCCCAAACCCAAAGTTGCTCCCAAAATTTTATTTGATTACCGGAGTTCAAATCATACCTGATCCAAGGGGAGAAAATTGGAAGTGGATCATGAATGGTTTTCCAAGGGAAGCAGCTGTAGCCCTTACCAAAATTCCTGGATCCCATGTAAATGCTTGTTTTGGAGGTTTAACTTGTCTAGTATTTTTGTCTACCTCAATCTTAATGGCTTTGTTCTGATTAGTGTAGGGTTTGTTTGGTTGCAGTTGCAGCAACTCTTTACAAATAGACTTGTTTGTCAATGTGAACCCCATGGATTAGTTTGTGTACTCTAAGTGCACAAAATTGCCTCATGGAAAGCCATTTTTGTATCTTAGATATGACCAAACTGGAACTGGAAGCTCAACCTTTTTTTTGATTGGAAATGGTAACTTCATTAATATAACTTAAGAATAACTTTCCAGATTTAAGTACAGCTGTTAACCCCTAAGTAGGTGTTGAGCCTCTGGTAATCTTTCTTACAAAACTTTCTAGAACATTCTCTCCCTCACAGTCCCTTGTTTAGCCAACGTGTCAACTAAACCATTAGCAGATCTCCTTGTCCATTTGAAGCATGCACTGATCTCCCTTGTTATGTTGAGGATTTCCCTTATGGGCTGTCTATAAATCCAGGCTCCCAACTTACTAGATTGCAGCCACTCAATCAACAATTTAGAGTCTCCCTCTATCTCAATTTGGTGTAACTCCATCTGTTTGGCATATCTTACACCTTGAAGTAAGGCCATCACCTCCGCTCTCAATGAGTCCCCCACTCCTATTGGTCCTGAAAACAATGCTACAATTCTGCCATTTTCATCTTTGAATACTCCTATTACCTGAGGGGCCCGGGTTACCTCTTGAATTCCCATTGAAGTTCAATTTCATTCTTTGTTGTGTTGGTGGGGACCACAATTCCTGCACAATAGGTTTCATGGAAGTTGTAGATGCCACCATTTCTCAATTCCTGTAAATGTCTTTACCCGAGAAGTCTTTAAACAAATCCAAAGTTTTCAACCATTGAATAGTCATAATAATTATCCTTTCTACAATTGCCTCCTTGGATTTCTCCACTCCTTTAAAGATTCTATTGTTCCTTTCTTCCCAAACTGACCATAAGATAGCTGCTCTTGTGGCTCTCCACATTAATCTTCCATGTCTCTTCGGTTGCTAGATCCCAAGCAGAGGCTACAAACATGGGGTGATAGGCATACATTTGGCCATTTTCTTTGCAACATATCTAGACTATTGATTTTTTGGAGAACCACCTCCCAACAAAAAGCTCGAATTTTGGGGGTACAGGCTGACACCAAATCTCCTTTGAAAGAAAGCTCCTTACAGGGTTTGATGATTGAATGAGGACATCAAAAAAGGAGGAACAAGATTATCCCCAAATTTTTGAGCTGTTGTTATTCAGATAGCTACTCAAATCACTGCACACGTTTTCTTGTTATCTGTAAGATAACTAGTGAGAAACCCGTGCAATGCACGGGATTATTTGGTGAGACAATATATAAGTAATGGAAATACACCCTCTATTTGTAAGATATGCTAATAATTCATTAACAAAGATAATACATTGTTGTCTTAGCACATCATCTATTTTTATATTATATGAGTTAACCAATGTATTGTCTCTTAATATTATAATATTATAATATTATAAAAAGTTATAATGGACTTATGAAATTGTGAACTGGCACATGGCATGCTTGGAGATGTACTTACATTTTACTAATTTGAGCAATCTTCAAGAACTTTGTTATAGAGGATTGGTGTATACATTTTACTAATTTGAGTAATCTTCAAGGTGGAACAGAGGATTGAGTTTAATGCATGTATACAGATTATATTTAGATACAAGGAATGGTGTTTAGGTTGCAAATTGTCTATACATAGCCAAGTTTGTTGGACTTCAGGGCAGGAAACCATGAAATGAAGAGTGGTGTCATTCAAAGTTGAATGCACTGACCAAGTGTCCTGTATATGGTGTTAGAAGTTTGAGCTTTTTGCTAACTGTAAGAGTCCTTTCCAAATTGCATTTAAAGGGTGATTTTTAACTATATGATTGGTTTCAATGGAAATCATGCCAATACAAGATCGGTGATAGATGATAAAATAAACTCCATGGTCTTAGAGACTAATTTTAGGACCACTTCTATGGTCAACTGATTACATTAGACAAAAAGAAGCAAATGGCAATGTACCAGGGCAGCATTTTTTTTTTTTTGAGAATTTGGAGTGAGTGAATGCAAGAGGATGGCTTTCAGCAGCATGTGGAACCCATAATAGTCTTAACTATGGTAAGAGTGGCTTGTTGGGTTTTAAAAAGGGAATGGCTAGAGGATGCTAGAGGATGGCTTTCAGCAAGTTATTTATTGGGGAGATAACTGAATGAATCAAGACAGGATAAACCCAGGACTAAAACTGAATGGCTGTTGTCTACAGATTACAAAATAATTTCTCAGGTCTTTGCATCAAGTAAACTGTAAACACACCATATGAGTGAATTGGGTCCGGTGAGAATTATGAATACTGAGGGAAAAATAGAATAAATGAAGATCTTGACCCTTTTTTGTGGGGGGGGGGGAGGTAGTGATGATATCTAGATGAAATGAGTGTAAACACACCATATGAGTGAATTGGGTCTGGTGAGAATTATGAATACTGAGGGAAAAACAGAATAATTGAAGATTTTGACCCTTTTTTGTGGGGGGGGGGAGGTAGTGATGATATCTAGATGAAATGAGCACAAACCGTCTTTTTTTGGAGAATAAATGAGCATAAATGTGATTTATAAATCTAGTAGAACTTCTGGATTTATGGTCTGAATAGTAACATCTCACCAATCTTTTTTTGGAGAAGCTAAAGGTGTCATTATTTCTTAAAGGGTTACTTGATGCATTCTGGGGGAGTTTAGTATCGTCCACTACTTGAATTGAAAGGGGGCAAGAGGATAGCTTCTTGTATGAAGGATGTTGCAGACTTTGGCGATGGGAAGTCTATTGGTGGAATTTCCTTTTAGGCTGGTGGGTTCACTTTATTAATTACCTATGATAACCCCTTCAAGTTGGATTTGATCTGTATTCCATCCAATTTGGAATGTTGGTACAAATTGGTCATGCTACTATGCAAGTGGCTTTGCAAGGTCCAGTTCAGAGCATTTACTTATTATTTTGGCCTGTGAAAAGAGAAGTATACCTGAGTTGAGAGACTACAAACAATAAGAGAGGGAAATTGGCAATTTGGGCCTGAAAAAAGAAACAGAGAAATATACCTGAGTTGAATGAATATCCTTGTCTCCACAAATGGCTTGAGTGAGTGATCTGATCTCAGTAGATAACTTAAGTTCCATAACGGTGAATTTACAAAGGAATATATGCAGGCAGCCATTAACTTAGAATTAACTCAAAGTTTTTAAAACTCAATATTCTATCGTTAGTAACAGAATGGAGACACTAACAAAATTGAAAACAGGCTTTAGTGATTTCTTAAAAGTTGGTATTCTATCGTTATAGGAAACAGGACCGACCTCTTAGAGATTTCTTAGAATTAAATCAGAGCCTAACAAAATTGAAAAATAGGCCTATTCAAGATTTCTTAAAACTCATTGTTCTACCGTTACAGGAAGCAGGACTGGCCTCTTAGAGATTTCTTAAAGCTACTCAATGTTCTACCATTACAGAAAGCAGGACCTTAAAGAATAACCTGCATCAAAATCGGGAAGAAGTTAGGTTAGGTTAAAACCCTAGAAAAAGTTGACCCTGTAAATGGAGTTTCGAAAAGTAAACCTGGTTTATATGAAAGATAAAGTTCTTACCACATGGAGAGAGATGGATGCTTAGCCATTTCAAATTAGAGAAAATGATGAGGGCTGGGGACAAAGAAGATGGCAAAGCGTTGAGTATAGGGAGAAAATGGTAGGGGAAGAAATTATCCTCCAAGATGGGAGAGAAACACAAGTGCTTAGCCATTTCAAAATAGAGAAATTGGTCCAAAATGGGAGAGAAGAAAGACAGGTGCTTTGCTGTTTCAAAATAGAGAAATTGAAGGGGAGAGGAATTAGCAAACGTTGAGTAGGGAGGAGAAACGGTGGGATAAATGATGTGGCAGTATCAACTATGGGGTTATTTTGAAAAAAAAAAGAATACCACACATGTGAAAATGGAGAGATAAGGAAAATTCGTGTGAAGCTTGTGGTGAGACCACTTGTCTCCTTATCTTTCCTCTTTATATCATAGATATGGATGGGTCCATGTTCTTTTCTACCAGTTATTTCTTTTCAATCACAAGTCAATCTGTTAAGCATTATTGTGGTTATTTTTTGAAATTCTACTGGCATTGTTGATGTTAATAGAATTCAATATCCATAGAATTCATTATGTTAATACTATTTGTGGTTGATACTTTTTAATGCTCACAAGTTTCAGTCTTTTCTCATTTTCTATTTTGATCAGTATTCTCATCTTGTGTTTTTTTATTAGACTGACCATGTACCTGGAGTTCCAGTAGTACAATCATCTATGGTTGGGATGGGTGCCTACCTTCCACCTGGACAGGTATCTGCTCTTCATCCTTTCTTTATGCATCAGCAAGGTGCCACACACTCCATACCACCTGCCAGTTCACATCTTCCTCAATCTCACTTGGGGCATTTCCAGTCCATGCCTGTAATTTCATCACAGCAACACTGGCAAAACCAACAGGTGACTATGAATGCAAATTCTGGAAAGAATTTTGTGAAGAATCATCTTGCTTTCTATTTATCAAAAAAAAATCATCATGCTTTCTGATTAGTAGTTCTTTCTTGTCTCCTTTAGGCTGTATCAGAGGGTTCACAAATATCAAATCAGAACAAATTTCAACCTTCCCAAACTGAACAGAACCTTTTGAGGCCTGATGGACAATATGATTATGAGCTTGCTGCAAATGGACAAGTTCTCCATTCAGATTTTCTGGATACTCATGTCAGCCAGAATCAGGAGCCTGGTTCTTCAATCACCACATCCACTGAAGAAAAACAGGTGGTACAATTGATGATCCATTATGATTCTGTTGTTTGCATATCATATATTCCTATAGTTAACATATTAGAGAATGTAGACATGATCCACCAGTTTCTTTGAACAACAGGTCACTGAGTCAAATGATAAAGGGCATTTGGTCTCTCAACAACCAGAGCAGAACCTACAAGAGAGCTCTTCTCAGTTTCCTGATTCATTGAGAATGGATCCCCCTGAACAAATGAACCAGACCAAGGTTTGTTATTTTTCTGGTGTAGAATACATGAATTGTGATCCATTTTAACCCCCTTCCCTGCATGAACAGGCAGACACAATAGGGAAAAAGGAAAGAGGAAAGATGCACTGCCTTATTTTGTTTGTTTTATAAGTTATCCTGAAATTTCTGCTATGACTTGATGAGTCCATTATATATTAATCTGATCAGTTTTTTTCCCTGCATGGATAGGATGAGAACCTTGTCACAAAGCCTACCCATTCACAAGAGGGGCAGAATTTGCCTATTGAACAACCGTGGCCTGCTGCAAACCCATCGGCATCTGATACTCCAACCTATCTGGTTAATTCCAGTGAATCTAGAGGATACAATAATAGTGGCATGGTTGAAGAGTCTATTTCAGCTGGACGGACCACAAATTCACTTGTACCTGCAAAAATTTTTGAGAGTGCTCTTCTAGATGAAAGGTCACTCTTGGCTTGCATTGTTCGTGCAATTCCAGCTGGATCTGGTGGCAGAATTAGAATTAGTTCAACTGTAAGCTATTTCTTCGATCTTCAAACTTAGTATTCATCTCTTAAAGTTATGATATTCTTACTGTCAAACTTCAATTAGTAACTTTTATCTTTATTTAAAACAGCTCCCTAATAGACTGGGGAAAATGCTTGCACCTCTCCACTGGCATGACTACAAGAAAAAGTATGGAAAGCTTGATGACTTTGTGGCTGGTCATCCTGAAGTAAGCTTTTTGTGTTGCATCTAGCACATTTTGATGTTAATTTACTCTATTCTCCGGAGTCTTACTTCCTTGTTTCAGTTGTTTGTAATTGAAGGGGATTTCATTCAGCTTCGTGAAGGAGCACAAGAAATCATCTCGGCTACAGCAGCAGTTGCAAAAGTTGCTGCTGCAGCATCTGCTCCTTATTCATCAATGTTGCCATCTGTTGCTGTTACTCCTATGGCACAGGCTCACCGCCTCAAGAAAGTTTCATCTGTTGATACAAAATCTACGAAAAGTGTTTCAACAGAACCTGTCAATGCCACGCCTGCAGATGTAGCTGAAAAACCTTCACAATTTGTGGCAGTGCAGAATCAGCATCCAAATGGCATGTCTTTTAACATTGTTCAAGGACTCTCAAATGTGAAAATCTTGAGCAAACCTAGAGATGCATCTGAATCAAATGGAATGCAATCTGAAGTTAGACCTGGCAATTCTTCCGTTCATATGGCAGTTGGCAATGGATCAACTGCTGATAGAATAGGCTTGGTCACTTTTCAAAACAAAGGGTCAAGTAATGGGAGACATGGCGCAAATTTTGGAGGGAAGCAACAAGGAAGGTAATTATGAATTTTCTTATACCTTAATGCTTGCTACCTGATCCTTCTGCCCCTGGTTTATGCTGCAATTCCTTTTAGATTTGCATGGGATTCTTTAAGTAATTTCTGTTCCTTTGACAGAGCTGCTGGGGCGGCCTCGACCTCTAGAAGATAGTAAGAATCCTACTATTTTTCTGCAATTGTCCTTTCTAATAACGTTGAACCATTATTCAATTGTATTTTCTGTTGCAGTCTATGTTTGAGTTGTTAGGTAGATATATCACTATGCTGCTGATGCCAGATTAAGTTTTGAGCCGTTACTTTGGACCTGGTGTTTGTTTCTTAGATATTTTCTTCACATAGTCAAATGCCACATCTTTAATCAACATTTCAAAACGAAACCGTGAGATGCATACTGATGCTTGATTACATCCTTTTGTTGTTGAATACTTCTAATAGGTTTTGTTGTAGAGGCCATTCTTTGCCAATGTTTTGATAGGATTGTTTGTGCTCAATCGTTGTTTAAAACTTATTAAGGATGGAATTTTATAGGTTTTGCTTCTTCATATTTTGGAAGTTTATTGGTCAAAGCTATCTATTTGGTTATGTTTTGAGCTTCCTGTGCGTGTAGGTTCTCTTGTACTGGCAGGGGTTTCAATGTGTCATTTGCAAGCTGTATCTATGTTAGTTTTTAGGGATGCATATGGGCCTTCCTCCAAAAACATGTTCCATGTCCATGAATTGTTCAACCATGTATCCTATGCATTGCTTGTCCAACTCCATGCATATCAATTTCAGAAAAATGGGGGAGAGCCTCCCTTAGTGAAGGAAATGCATGGGAAAAAGTGCAGGAAATCGAGATACCCATCATCCATGTGTATGTCTACAACCACAACCAGGCCTATCATATGTGTCAGTTCCTGATGTTAGGTTTGGGTATGACGGTCACTTCTATACCTGACTTACGTCTGGGGAGGGACAGATGTATGCAGCCTTACCCCTGCACATACAGAGAGTCTGTGCCCAAGATTTGAGCCCTACTCACCCAGGTTGCAACAGAGCAACACAACCACTGCGCCAAGGCCCACCCTCATATATGTATGTATGTTTGTATGGCTGTGTCCATGTCTGTGTCCGTATATGCATGTTGAATCAGGGGTTCTACCCCTTCATTTATCTTTTTCTTCTTTCTAATCACTCTGTCTATTCATTCGAGAAAACCTCCAACTTGTTCTCTTTGCGATTAGCACAAATATAGCTTCATGTATATCTTTGCCAAATTCATCATAAGAGGGGTTTGTTTCTTTGCCAAATACAACCTCCATTTATTCTTTCTAATCACTCTTCTTTTCAACTGGGACAGCCTCTCATTATTGTTCTCTTTTTAAGGTTTTTTTATTTATTGTAGATCACTTTCGGTATTTGCTAATTTCTACTTAAACTAGGGAAACAATGTAAGCATAAAAAATCTAGAGATATGAGCTAAACTGACCAGTAATTTTTTATAAAAAAGTAATTGCGTGGGAGATGCCTATATGTGGGTGCCTAGGCTCCTTGGTTACTATGGGCTCTGCACCTCCTTTTACCTAGCCTCACCTTAGTGTCTTGATGGTTATATTTCCTTAACTTCCTTGATGGTGTGATCATCAAACCTACAAGTTATGAACACAACATAGGGTTCCTTTTTTCATGTGCCAATTATGATGATTATAAACAACACGTGTGCCATTTTTAGTGTTTATATTTTCACCGTCCGGTCTTCTTATTGCCTTAAACTAGAAAAATCAAGGTATTAATAACTGATGATCAAGTACTAAATAGAAAGAAGTGGAAGGTAAGAAATTAGAGTGAGTGGGGGGGGGGAGCGGTCATGAGTTAGATGGAAAGAAATGAAGACTTAAACCAGTCCATTCACTTTGAAAGAGTAAAAAGGAACATGATTACTGCAATACCCCTATGTTGCTCTCTAATGGAGGGAGTACAAAGAGCAAAAGTTTGGATCTAAGGAAGCCACTTATTGAAGGAGATTCCCAACCAGTAGTAGGCTGGTTACAAAGTGAGGAGGTAAAAATGTGGAGCTACAAAAATGAAAAGAAGAAATTCAGATGGCTAATAGAAGACATGGATGTGAGGCTATAATGGGATAAAACTCAAAAAACTTAAAAGAAGTGCTAATTTCTTGGCAGATTATGTAGCTAAACAATGGGTGGGGAGAGTTTTAACTGTTTTGGGTTCAAATGTAAGATAAAGAAAACATTCTTGGGGATAGATAAGAGGGTTTATCTCTCAATGTCAGTTTACTTGCTTTGTAATCACTTTTCTTGATTTTCTTAATGATTTTTGTAATTATTCATAAAGAAATGCCCATACATTGCTCTTATTTTAATATGTTAATGCTAAACTATGGTGAAGTGACTTGCACACAGTTGCAGATGTTTTCACTATGGCTTTTTATCAAGATTGTTGGGAGATAATTAAAGTAGACCTTTGGGCTATCTTTGAGGAGTTTTCTAGGGAACACTTTATTAGTCCGGGAATAGGTTCAACTTTCCTAGCCTAATCCCAAAGAAGGGAGGTGCTAATCAACAAAAAGATTTTAGATCAATTAGCATGGTAACAAGCATTTATAAAATTGTGGCCAAAGTGTTTTGATAGCCAAAGAATGTGTGGAAGATTTAAAAAAAGGGAAAAGAAAGGTTTTGTGTGTAAATTGGACTTGGGGAAAGCTTATGATATGGTTGATTGGTCCTTCCTCTTGGACACTGAAAAATTTTGGGTTTGTTGAGAGATGGTGTGGCTGGATAAAAGGGTGCTTGAAGACATGCCATTACTCGGACCTAGTCAATGGAGTTGTTAGAGACATTTTCCCAGCAACCAGAGGTTTGAGGCAAGGGGATCCTGTTTCTCCTTTCCTATTTACCTTGGTAGCAGAGGTGTTCAGTAAGCTTATCACAAGAGATGATATTTTGGAACTTTTTAAAGGATGGAGCGTTGGGAGAGAGCACAATTGTTGCACATTTGCAGCTTGCTAATGATACAATTATCTTTTGTGAGAATGCTAATCCGTAAAAGGCAAGTAATTTGATTTTGAAGTAGGTGATCAAACTGTTTGAATTTGTCTAATCAATTTTGAAAAGAGATGTGTAGTAGGATTGAATTTGGGAGAGGAGATGGCTAGGATTGCAGAAACTTTAGGTTGTCCTACAACAAGATGGCCTTTGAAATATCTAGGTATGCCTTTAGGAGCCAACCCACAGGAAGGAAGCTTTTGGAGCCCAATTCTTGAAAGATGTGCGAAGAAGTTGTCAGCTTGGAAAAGGAGTTATTTGTATCTAGGGGGACTGGCTAATAAGTAATAGTGATGCTATGGTTATGGAGGTGATTTGACGGTGTGGAGAATGGGGAGATCTAATTTTTCAATATTTTTTCACTCCCTGGTCTTCTACTTTCTCTGCTATTCGAATACATGCCAAGTAGTGATTTAAAAGGCGTGCCTAGGTGCACAAGCGAGGCGCATTTTAGGGTAGGCACCTCGCCCAGGCATGTGGCTTTTGAAAATTTGGCGCTTTTTTGCTTTTTTTTTTCTAGTGGTTGGGCCGGGGGCTCCGCCCCTGGCCCCTCGTGCCACGCCCCTCGAGGCAAGCCCAAACAAGTCCACATAGGTCTTAAATTCTTAGTTCTCACACAAAAAATAATGATTTTTTAGTTTTAATTGCTTTTTAATAAGATATTTATTAGGATGAATGAATGAACAACATTACCAAATAGGGGGTTCTCGAAGAATGAGGAATGTAATATGTTTTACATCACATTAGCTACTTGAAGTAATTGAATTGAGAAAAAAAGAGATTGTGGGTTTTGTATGTTTGATTTTATTTTTAAGTTCTCATTTGAATATGCTTTACATGTTATATTTATGTATTTTAATTTTTGATAATAGATTTTTTAAAACATTTATTTTAAAATTTAAGTTTATATTTTATTAATATTATGTATAATAATTTTTTGATTTTTTTTGGCTTATTTTATTTTATTTTTTGTGCCTTGCTTAAAAGGGCACGTACCTTGCCTTGTGCCTTGGGCGCAAATTGACCCCTGCACCTTTTTTGCGCCTTGCGCTTTTAGAACACTAATGCCAAGAAACCCTTCTCCCAATTTGTCCATCTCTTCACCCACACACCCCAGTAAATGGCAGAAATCATCAAAGACTTCACCCACACACCCCAGTAAATGGCAGAAATCATCAAAGACTTGCAATCACAGAGCTCTCCATGGTCATCAGAATCCATGGGTTGTACACCATCTTACTAGCCAAAAACACATTTTAATAATAGATGAATGTGAAGTATTAGATTCAGCCATGACAATGACGAACAACACCAATGTTCTGACTCTTTGAGAAGAGGTTCAGTCTAGCAGAGAAGACACATGGTTCTGACAAGACATGCTATTTTTTCTCATCACATCTTTGCATTTTGCTTTCTTGCCAGGATCGCACCCCAATTTTGAGAACATGCTTTGCATCACTTTCTTAACCCATCCCCATGTTTCTCTCAAAAACAAAATATGAAAATGGAATATTACTGGAATATTTCATGTTTCCCATCCATTTCCCTCAAAACAAATAGAGCCTTAGGGTTGGCCTTGGGTTGACTGCCAACCCCACCCAACCTGTGCAAGTTGAACTCCAATTTTTAGGACTAGTGATAAGTTATAGGTTAGGTTACAAACATTTCAAAGTGGGAAAAAATTATAGGGGTTGGAATTTTTTAATGTAAATTTCCCTGAAGATTTGTCATAGATTTAAGGAGGATAATATTTGTATGATAAAAAGTTTATAATTGTATATGGGAGCAATTGAACATGGCTTGGCAATTGGCATAAAAGACAAAACCTACCGAAAAAGAGAAAAGTTTGGTTTTGATGTGAACTTTGAAGAAGAAAAATGCTTATCTGAACTAAATATGGGGAGAAGGTTTTGGAAGATTAAATCAAAAACCTTTTTGCTTGAGGAGGTCTTGGTTAATCAGGAAATATCTTTATAGGTGAAGGAATGGAAGAAGGGAATCATTTGTTTGTGAGGGATGCAATTTAGTGGTTGAAAAAGTTTTTCGTAGACGTAATCAGAAAAAAGATGAGAGCTGGAGTGGAGGGACTCAAAGGTGAAAGAAGAAAGAAGACATTATGTAGAAAGGAGAAGATATTAGTGAAGGAATGGAAGAAGGGTATTATTTTGTTGGTGAGGGATGCAGTTTAGTGGTTGTTTTTTTTTTTTTTGTAGAGGTTATCAGAAAAAGAGGAGAGTTGGAGTGGAGGGACTCAAAGGTGAAAGAAGAAAGAAGACATTATGTTGAAAGGAGAAGGAATAAGTTTTAGTAGTTTCATAACATTGTAAAAAAATTTTGGAGGTGGTAGGAAGTAGCTGGTCTGCTTTCCTAAAGGAAGAGAAAATGGAGGCTAGATTCGGATGATCAAAATGATAAAGGAGTTCTTGGGTTTTTTAGCAAAAGATTCAACTTGATTTTGCAAAGACAAGAGTACTCCTAGCAGAGGTTGGTGTCATAGGAAAGGGTAGGATGATAAGCACTCAAGGGAAGGAGATGTGGGAACACATACTAGTGGTTGACACCAAACTTGTGAAGGATTGGATGGGAATCGGTAATGCGATTCAAAAGATGTTAAATATTCAAGGGACGCTGATTGTCACTCCCTTTGGGAAGAGGACTTTACTCAATTTGTTAGATGATGAGCTAGAAATTGCAGTGATGACTCTCCAAACACAAGAAGGCCAGATCTTGATATCAAGGTGGTAAGAATTGTAGATTGCGGATGTTGTGGTGGTAAGAATTTTAGGGCTTCCTTTTCATCTATGGGTGATTAAAACTTTTGAGTCTATTGCTGCAATTTGGGGAGGGTTGCTTGGCTGGTTTATTTTTGAAAGATCTTCATTCATCTGACATAAGATTGAATGGTATAAGCTGGGGAAAATCCAAGGAAGATTGAATGGTCTGAAATTTTCTGTATGGTGCGTGACATCAATAGAAGCGTGGAAGAAAGGGTGCAGAGAAGGAGATGAAGCGTTACAATGTAAAGAGTGGTTGGAAAATTCAAATGAAAGTTAAACATTCACTGTTTTGCCAAATCAATATTTGGGAAAAGCAGAAGGTGAGGAAGGTCACTCTGAGAAAGGAAATTATTATGATGAGTGGGAACTGGTCTGTGGCATGACTTTTAAGTGTGTTTTGACTTGGGGCTATACTGGTGAGAACTCCAAGGAGAATACAAGTGTGTTGGAGAAGCCAGATACGAGTTCTAAGGGATTTGTGTTGAAGAAGCCAGATATGCATTCTAAGGGATTTGTGATTGGATCGGGAGACCCCATCTGAATAGTTGATCCAGCTTGGTTCACATGCTGACTTAAGTGAACATGTGGGTGCTTTGGAGGGTGGGCCTCGAAATGAAGAATTAAGGTTTAAAGAGGTAAGTTGGGGATTCAAGCCAGGTATTCCTTTTAGGTCCAATGGGAAGGGAACCCATGTTACTTTAGGACAAAACTTGCACTTAAAATTGAAGTCAGTGGATTGTGTGATAGACCCAGGGCTGTGATTTATTTTTGGCTTCCTCAAGGTTTCCAAGACTTTGGTACCAGGCGAAGATTGGTATATCTGGAGTATAACAAATTACTATGAAGGAGAAATATCTACCTCGAAAGGAATTCTGAAGACAATTGTAACTTGGGTAAGGAGGTTTTGAATGATAGAGATCTCATAGTGTGTTATGCTCTTTGGAGAAAGCAATTGATAGAGATGGCCAAGGGAGAAAAGATTACGATGAATTAATAGAGGTTATCGGCAATGGTTCAGAAGGTTATCGGCAAAGATTACGATCGAACAGTCTGATGATGGAAACCAAGTCAAGAGGGGAAAAGAGTTGGAGAGTGCTGAATTTATGGCTGAGATGATATTGGAAAGGAGTTGGGAACCTTGGAGAGAAGGAAGAATTAAGAAAAGAGAAAAGAAATTATTATACAAGCCCTTCACAGGATAACACTGATTTAGTGTCTACTTAAGGAGAAGAAGACGAAGGGGAGGAGGAAGGAGAATAATATAACCCAATCAAAGATGAGATTAGAATGGTTTGGACTTATGAAATTGAAGGGACAGTTGACATGGAAAGGTGGTGGAAAGAGAAATCGAAGTAAAGCTTTGGGGATTCTTGTTCATTGAGGGGAGGGTGCTACCAGGAAGTTATTCAAAGAACTAGAAGAATGATACCCAATGCGTTTGCAGGATAAAGAAGGTTGTAGCTTGGGTGTTAAAGAGGAAGATACTAACCCTAGGGATGAGGTTGATCAAGTTTCGTCCAATTAATGGATGTGGATTGTAAATGAAAGTAAAAATGGGCATCAGGGCAATTCATTGAGACAAATGTGGTACTACAAGTGGAAAGAATTAATTAGGGTCGAGTGACTGTAAGGATGATGGCAAAGAAGCCTAATGCTATTAGAAGATTCAGAAGTTAGAGAGCTACATGAGCAATTCAGGTTTGCAAGGCTGAAAGGGGGCTTGTTCGGAAGTGGGCCCACTAAGAAGGTGAAAAAGATGAAAGTTTGCAAAAGATGGAGAGTTTGCCTTTTTAAGTTTGTGAGGAGTTTGGATATTCTGTTTTTACTATTCTAGGATGTTTGCCTTTTCATCACTGTAGGGCATATTTTGGATGTATTTTTTGAGGGTTTTCTCTTGTATGCCTGATAATATTTTCTGGGGTGGGTTTAATCTTGGATTGCTGGACTTGTAGGTTTTCTATTATTCTCTTTTCTCAGGTAACTGCTGGTCACCCTCCTATGTTCCTACTGGAGGGTGACTAATTTTATTGTAGTTTATTTTATTATCAAACGATATAAACTTTGAATAAAAATACCTGGATCAGTTTTAGACCTCTAGGGTTGTTGGATGAACTTGTGACTAATTTGATAGCTGCTGGTGACTGTTATGGCTGTTTTTAGAATTAGAGAAAGGATAGAGGGAGAAAGAGAGAACCTGGAATCACTCCACGAGTTTTTAAAATCAATCTAGGTCCTTGGGGGTATCCCTAGGGCTCCGTTTGAGAAGCGTACAAATACAAAAATGTTTGGTAGAAATCTCTGGTTCATAAAAATGCAAAGTTGGTTTAGTTTTGCAATGATAATTTTTAACTCCTACCAAATGACTTTACAAACACAATTCTGGAGTTGATACTATAGGAGTGGCCCAGTCCTAGAATTAGGAAAAATAGAAATTTCAGCATTTCCACTATCATAAGAAAACTCAGTAACTCCTAATGCTTAGTTTGGAAAGAGTACAAATACATACAAAATACAGGGTTGTGAACTCTACATATTTGTATTTGTACACCTTCCAAACTGAGCCTAAATGACTTGACCAATGACTAGACAAATTAAACTACTGCAAAGTGATTATTATACTCTCCTGCTGGTTCAAAATTACAAAAAAATAAAAATTCAAAAGAATTAAATTTTTACCTTTTGTCTCCTACATCACCCATTCACCTGGCCTGAGAGCCCAGGCCTGATGCTGTGTAAATTCTTAAAGTCAGGTACCTGAATTGCACCCTTAGTTCTGTGTTCTCATCTCATCAGTTTGCTTCAGGGTTTTTGATTTGTTAGCACTGCGAATTATGATCCACGATCTATGCATGTTTCTTAGCATGTAGATTTGCTGCTTGACTACTATATGATAATTGTATTGTCGTGAAATATAATGGTGATATCTATAATTTTTAATGTACTACATAAAGAAGCACTTTTTATTGAACAATGAGCGTTGAACATAAAGAAGCACTTTTCTTGTATGATTAATTCTCATCTTCTTTGGCAGGAATCCTATTAAAAATATATGGGGATTATTTTTGGAGAAGGAATTTCTGTTATAACTGGTGCTAGTGTTGATCGCATTGGTTCTCTGAGGATGGGAATCTCCCGTTAACTTATTCAAGCATAGCATTCTTCCATTGGGATATACAACTGCTTTTATAATTCTTCAATTTCATTGGGAAAAATATTTTGTTTCTATTTGCTTTCTTTTTTCTTCTCCTTGACCCGTTTACTTGATTTGCATGTTAAAATGGTCAAAGTAATGAAACTTTGACGTAGGGTCGATCTGTGAATGTGATAGGATGCACTTGGTTGTGAACAGTAAGGATACAAGAATTTTAAAACTCAATTTATTGATTATAGGGTAAACTGCGTAAACCTCCTAATAATTCCTTAAAACTTTCCTTGTGTTTTGCACGTGGCATAAAAACTCTTCCAAGGTTTAGGTTTGGCCACTGTCATCTACACCACCCCTTACGCTAGGGTGTCTTTAGAAACATGACAAGATTGCATTATCTAATGATCGAAGACCCCCAAACGAATACCAATTGTGCGAGAATGTCTGCGAAGCTTCACAGTACGAACTTCCTCTTAGCCAGATATACGAGGAATCCCCTCTGCCCTGTCTGTGAATCTCCAACCCCATGGAAAAGTTTTGGATGCTAAGCTTTTCTTTGTGGGAGATGTGTTTACAGCTCCTAGGGAAAGGGCAGAGCTGGAGTAATAATTACAACTTAGAGTAGATGTAGATGATGAGTGAATGCTAGCCTATCTTCATTCCGGAGAGAGAGAGAAAGAGAGTTTAATTACCCTTTGGGTGAATCCTATTATTAAATGGAGATGGGTTTCTTTTCTAAACTACTTATGCTGCAGGCTATTTAGGGGTGAACATACAAAGGTCAAACTTATCTTCAGTCGCAATATACTGTTGTTTAGCGCAGTTATTTGTAGCTCAACATTCAGGCTTCAGCATCAGCAATTAATGTATTTTCTTAACAAGGGTTTTACCCAAAACAACTACAATCTAACAAATTCCATCTTTCAGAAACATCAGAATTTTACCAACAAATACACAATTACAAGCCTAAATCCATCATCTACCGTCATTCCCAGGCTTCCCCACCTCTGGTATCTACACCACCAAGGCCTCCAGATTTCTTGACTGGTTTACTGAATTGAAACACAGGGTGCCTGCAAAGTTTCTTCACTCCCTTTCTTAAACTCAGCCTGTCCAAGAACCGTTCTGTATCCCCACCTAGGCACTCATTCTCTTCAGAGCCCGTGTCACATATAGCATGTGTACCATTCCTAGAAGTTGAATTCCGTTGTTCATCAACCTCAGGCTTCCTGTGAAAGCTCCAAAAACTCTCTCCACTATCATTTTCAAATCTGTATTCAGCTGGACTTCTTATATAATTTCCTAAGATGACGTGTCCATCAGCAACATACACATTTGTTGTTTGCTCACACGGCCCTGCACCAATTTCCCTGTTCAATTTTGGTGATGGGGGGCCATTCTTGTTGCCTGGAGATTCTGAACCTGAAGAGAGCAACATAGCTTCAGCAACTGATTCTTCTCTTTCTCTAAGGGTTTTTATGATCAGTGTCTTGAGAAAGTTCATAACTTGTACCGCGTGGACAAGTGCAGTCAAGGGATCTGCCATCTACAGAAAGGAGAACCAGTTATTTACATCCTATACTCGCAAATTGCAAATAACACTATTTCCTTGGTGGTTGCTCTGCAAGACTGCCAGCTAATGCAAGGTTTCTAAGAACCTGTATTCAGTGATATCCTACTCATTTTATCAATTAACTTATCCAGTCTTCTTAATAGTAACCCAGATTGGAAATCCATCAAATAATATTAATTTCTATACCTAACCAGATGGAACCCAACAAATCAAGGCTTTGATTACCCCAAATTAGTGGTCGTTATTTCATTATTTTATCAGCCCCAAAAATGGGGCCTATATTTGACCAGAACCATACCACTAGATGGAACCCATCAAATCATGGTTTCCAATACAAATTTTAGGGTGTGTAATGTTTGACCACCACAAGGGGATTTCCCACATAGAGCCTTGCATATGCACACAAACAAATAGGTAAAACTGTCCACTAACCTGAGTCATGTTGGGTGCGAAGACCATTGCAATATTGCGGGCATTCATCTTATTGTGATGTTCGTGCTGTACCACATCTGACATCAGATTGATGGCCCAATCAAGCAATGCAGCCTCTGTTGGTGGCAGTAGTCTTGCAAGTTGAACGCACTCTTCTTCTGTGTTGCAGTGCATCACCTGCTCTGGTGTAAGGGAGTCTAGCACCCCTCTAGGAAGTTCTCTAAACCAAGCCTGGACAGCACCAAGAGATCTTAGTAGTCAAGCTACAAATGATTCAAAACATAGAAAGGAAGCCAAATGGGCCTTTTGGGGACCAATTGAATATATTTAAGGACATAAAATGATATAATATAATAAGTGGATTTTTGGAAACCAATGCCTAAGCTTTGCTATGAATTTCAAGAATTCCCTGGGCTTTTTTATATGACAAGTTTTTACAGTTGTTGCAGTCATAGTTCACAGCCAGGAAGTAGTTGAAACCATTCATACCTATACAATTAGGATCTCTGACAGTCTGACTTACTAAGGATATGAGTTACCTATAGGCAATTTTGCTCTTAACCAGATTGTTGTGGGGAGACAACTTGTGCCAGGTATTGTTTGGGCTCACCAACCAACCTATTTCTTGGACCAAAAACAACCATAGCCCCAAATACCAAACCTAGGATGAAGTAGTTTTCAACCCATTACCTCCACCTAGGACCTATCAACCCCAATTTGAAATCCAATTGAACATATGGGTGACAGATTGAATTCGAAATTGGTCAGATTTTCAGATTTGAATCTGATCCATGTTTGATCCACTGCTTCAAAATACTTACTTTTTACAATAAAATCACCAATGACTAAATTGTGGAGGAAGAACCCTAATGACTTGTATATACACAAAGGGAGAAAAAAGAGCTTACAAACATGAAAAAACAACTAGTTGTAAAATATAACCTATATGCATTTATATATTAGATTAAAAGCTTGCAAAGGTTCTTTATCCAGTCCACCCCTCCCCAAGACCCCAGCTAGCTGGGACCAACATTCGGGTAATTGCCTTCTTTTTATATATTTACATATTAGATTATGTATATATGTACACGCGCACACACACACACACACATTGTAGGGCTGGCAGAGGTAGGTGAAGCAAAAACTTTACTCCGTCTCTCTAGTTTAATGAGGTGCTGCCAAGATTAAATAGCAAGCTCCTTCCATGGGGAAAATGATTATGTAATAATTATTCAGTTTAATATGGAAATTCCATCTTACTATGGCTGTTTTTTATTGCATGTAAAACAAAGGAAAATGAATGGCTTCCTCAAAAAATGATATTCAGTAGGAAAATGAATCTTCCCAATTTTTCTGTCCTTTGGCTTAACTTGGAAAGCAAACCTGAATGTTGGCAAGTATGTAGATGTCATGAGAATTGAATCAAGAAGACTAACCCTCTTTCTGGAAAATGACTTTAGAACGAATTCATTTTTCTACATTTTGGATAATATTTGTTTTCTATTTCCACATAACATGCAACCAAACACTGTAAAATGGCATTGTATGCAGAATTGTTAATTTTCCTTCATTTTAAATAACAACCAAGTAGAACCTAAATTAAAGTCAAGATAATGACTTCAATCACATATGAAATGCTTCATGTAGAGAAGATGGGCCGAATGGCCCATAGGCTGTTTATCCTTTTTATCTTTTATGTTCTTTGCTGTAATGGGCCTTAATTTGGGCTTTATTCTTTCTTATATTATGTCTTTTTAATTTTCTGCCCAACTAGAGGCTTCTCTGTAAATTATTAAAGTTTAACTTAATAAAATAGAATTAAGGGAGTAAGAGAAGAGATTAAGTTCGAAAATCTCTCTCTAAACCCAAGTTGCCGCCACCTTCTTCTTCTCCTTCTCTCCTCTTGAACTCTGATTTCCGCTACTTTCTTTTGAATTTTTGCAACTTTCTAAACAATCATTTCTTCTCAAAAGGTTGTTTTTCTTCTTGGTATCAGAGCAGGCTCGTTTTTTCCTTTTTTTCACCTTTTTTTCCCATACACTAGACCTGTTCATGGGCCGGCCCGGCCTGACCCCCGGACGGGCTTGAACATGCTTATAGGCCCGCGGGCTTAAATTCGGGCCGAAAAGCCCAGCCCGCAATAAATTCGAGCCGGGCTCGTGTTTTGTCAAAATAGCCCGGCCCGACCCGACCTAATATTAAACTTAAAATTAGTTGTGATTATGTCCATTTGTATAAATTTTTTGATTTAGGAATGCAAAATTGTGTTTTAAAATATAAAAGAAAGGGAAAAATACCATCTTGTAGGCCCATTGTTCATTTAAATAGAAAAAAAATACTATATGAATTTTTAATTCTAATTTGAATAGGGAAAATTGTTTTTTTTTTTCACTTAGGTCGGGCTTCGGGCTCGGGCTCGGGCTCGGGTTTCGGGCTTTTTACCAGGGCCGGTCTCGGGCCCAAGTTATAGGCCCGTTGGTCGGGCCAGGCTCGGGCTCGGACCTAGTATATTTTCATTAGTGACAAGTGAAAGCCCGGCCTGAGCCCGGCCCGGCCCAGCCCATGAACAGGTCTACCATACACAATGTATGGAGAACTGAATCGTATGAATAGTTAAAGAAACCTATTTCAACCCAGTTGTTAGTGGTTTCTAGAGAGAAGGGGACTGGTTTTGTCGTCCTCTTGACAGATTCAAGTGTGTTGCCCGAAACCCTAATTTTCAGGAGAAATCTGATTGCGGGCCCCACAAGGAGTTTGACCTAGGCGCTCAGTGAAGTCTACAAGGAGCGGTTGAGTTTTCTTTGTTTCTCCCAGCTTCCGGGTGCGACGCAGGTTACTAGTACGGCTGCATTGAGGTTGGCTCACAACACAATTTTTGTTTTGTCTTCATTTGTTGTTATTCGAAGTTGTTTGAAGTATTTAAGAAGGTGAACTCCTCAGACTTTGAAAACAAGCATGTTACTGAATTTGGATAGGTTTCGGGAGCCTCTGTAGACTCTCTACTGGCTGTGACCACAGTCAAGCTGGATGGAACTAATTATCTGGCTTAGTCACAATCAGTAAAAGTTCATATTTGTAGTAAGGCAAATGGGGTTTTATCTCCGGGAGCAAAAAGGCTCCTCTGGAAGATGATCCATCATATGAAAAGTGGATGCAAGAAAATTATACTGTTATTGGATAGCTTGTGAACTCAATGCAACCACAGATTAGTCAGCACTATTTGTGGATGAATTCAGCAAAGGAAATATGGGATAGTGTTACTAAAACCTATTCCCAAAAATTAAACGTGGTCAATGTTTACATGTTGAGAAGTGATGTGAAAAATTTGAGACAGGGGGAGAAACCATTAGTTGTATACTTCTCAACACTGAAGTCTTTATGACAAGAAATAGATTTGATAGAAGTTGTAGCCTGGGACACCACTAATGATGTTGAGACCTATAGAAACTGGTTGAGAGAAATATGGTGTTTGAGTTCTTGATAGGGCTAAATACAGAGTACGGCGTTACAATGCAAAATATTTTATCCAAGGATAGTGTCTCATTGTCTCAAGCATATGCCTTGGTAAGTAGTGAAGAAAGCAGAAGACTTGTCTAGGTCCAAGGGGCTGGTCTAAATGATCACTTTGCTAATATGGGAGTGAAACCCAAGGGGGTTGCAGGGACTCCAAGTAGCTCAGGACAGAAAGAGATTATCTGTGAATGTTGTAAAAAGCCAAAACACACTAAAGACAAGTGTTGGAAATTGCATCCTGAGCTCCTACCACTTCGGTTTCAGAAGAAGTCTAATAATATAAAGGCAGGGAGTGCCAATGTTGTTGCTGGTCCAGATAGTGACAGATACCAAACTAAAGAGATGACGGCTAGTGAGCAGTTAGCAGCTATGAAGGCAGAATATGAGAAGTTTGGGAGGATGATCAGTCACCTAGAGGGTGTGACTTCTTCTTCCAACCCTCCAGGAAATTCAACCTCTTCTGCATTTGCTCATTCAGGTATACAGGATTCTGCCAATCATGCAACCATTTCAGGTAATCGTAGGATCCCTTGGATTATTGATTCTAGTGCTTCTGATCATATGACCAGCCTTTCTACTTTGTTTGTTTCATATGATTTACTTCCTAGACGTGACAAAATCACCTTAGCCGATGGCTCTCTTGCCCCTATCTCCGGCAAGGGAACCATCAAGGCTACAGACTCCTTGGTTCTTCCTTCTGCTCTTCATGTACCCAGACTAAATACAAACTTGTTATCTGTAAGTAGCCTAACYAAGTCATTAAACTGTTGTGTAACCTTCTTCCATTCCTACTGTGTTTTTCAAGATCTACAGTCTTAGAAGGTGATTGGGAGTGGTCGTGAGGTGAATGGAATATATCTGTTGGATACTCCTGGACAATGCCATGAACAACCTAGAAAAACTGCTTTTGGGTCTACATCTACAGAGTCCATCAGTCAAGTCATGTTATGTCATTTTCGTTTGGGTCATCTTTCTTTTTCTGCATTAAATCATTTATTCCCAGAACTGTTAAGGGAATTAGTTTGTCCAGTCTTCATTGTGAGTCTTGTGAACTGCAAAGCATTGTAGAAACAGTTATCCTCTGAGTAATAAAAGATCTTCTTCTTTTAATATTGTGCACTCTGATGTGTGGGGGCTTACCTTCTATGGGTGGCTACAAATATTTTATTTTGTTCATTGGTGACTTTTCTCGGTTCACTTGGATATTTTTGATGAAGTTCCGTGATGAAGTTCCCAGACTTGTGAGGCAATTCCATGAATTTGTTCTAATTCAGTTTGAAAAAAACCTGACCTGCTATATCATTGATTTAGAGGTTATTCATCAAAGCTCTTATGTTAGGACCCCAGAATAGAATGGAGTTGCTGAAAGAAAAAATAGACATATTGTTGAAGTTGCAAGAAGTATTCTATTTGCCTCACATGTCCCTA